ATCCCAACCATCATACACCCTTGACATAGTCGTATGTCCAAAATGATATCACCCATCTTTGGTCGCCAGTTCAAAACGTTTTCATCTAATTTTGGCCAGTTCAAACTGTTTCGATAATACATACAGAGTTCGCGTTTATCGTGTCGCTCTATCTTTAAAATTGACATATCATCATTGCACGAATTATCGTAGAAATGTATATCATGCAACAACACTATACGTGTAAACTTGCCACCACCTGCCGGAATTTTTATATAGAAATTTTGAAAGTTAAAGTTATTCAGCACTCTGATGTCTGGATGCATTATAAGCTCCTTCAATTCAGTATTTATCTCATATGCATTCTCAGTCGCAATTCTACGTGCATCTTCCACTATCTGATTGATGTGCTCCAGCACTAAGTCACGGGGCCAGCACTTTTGGGAGTAGAACCTGAGAACTTCAACATTTTCCTTCACTCCGCGTTTGTTTATTCCCCGCAAACCGAGTTCTCTGTCACGCAAAAACTGCACCATCGATATCTTTCTTGATTTTGTCTCCATTTTAGCCGTTCAATTTGTTGCATGTGTCCCGTATCTGTTGCTGCTTGAGTCTCGACTGAACTATGCGCTGATGTAATACTCATGATTTTATATGTTTCAAAACGTGCAAAATATGCATATCTCCATGATCTTCATGATGGTATCTTGTTTCACATTTTTTCTGCGCATCTTGCTGTCAACCACAAATCGATGCGACAGCACTAAAATGCTACATTGTGACGCATAAGAGAGAGACAGAAATCTTACTGTTGACCACAAATTGATGTGTTAGCACAAAAATGCTACATTGTGATGCATAAGAGAGAGATCTTAAATGAATACTTATGGACTGTACCATTGAAATAATTACCGTTCTTTACCGTTTCTTTAACGTTTCTTTACCCGTTTTTACATAACATATTATCCATGATGTATAACACGCAAAATCTTGTCGCGGGGGCACAGTGTACGTGCTCATTAGTAATAAGAATATCATGTGTCACATTCTTTTTCTTGCGCATCTAATTGTCGAATGCATACGTTTGCAGAATATTAGAGTTTGCAGCTGTGACTAAAAAATCACGCTGCGAAATGTGCTGGCGGCGCGGGTGGCGCGGACGGCGCGGAAACCGCCGCGGAAACCACCGCAAAAACCGCCGCGAAAAAACCGCCGCAAATCGGTAAAATGATCTATCGAAAGCAGATAGAAAAAATTATATAATATCGGTAATTACCGATCATCAATATTATGTAAATATGACAGTAAAAATTATGTAAAGAATATATATGTGCTGATAAAAATTAAGTAATTAAATGTTGGTATATAATATCGGTAATAAATTACCGATCGTTGGTATTATGTAAATATTCTGGTAAAAATTATGTAAATATATGTTGGTAAAAAATTAAATATTGGTATAAAAATTAAATGCTGGTATATAATATCGGTAATAAATTACCGATCGTCGGTACTATCGGTATTGTGTAATTATATGTCGGTAAAAATTATGTAATTAAATGTTATATAATATCGGTAAAAATTACCGACTGCCGGTAACATCGGTATGCCTTCCCCAATTACCGACCGATAATACTCCCCCTCCGCGGTGACGTCATACCCCCCCCGTGACGTCATACCTCTCGTGAAGTCATACCCCCTGACGTCATACCCTCCGTGACGTCAACCCCCCCGTGACGTCATACCCCCCGCCTGCGGTACGCCCCCGCCCCTCACCCCCCTCGGAGGACCTGAGTTAGAACCGGCCTATTATACCTACTCCGCGTACCGACAGTTGTCGGTGTCGTTAACGGTGTCGGTCGATAACTATCGAAAAAAAGCTATTCTGTACCGTCGTTAACGACAGATTAATAACGATACTTGTCGTTTATAAGCAATTGTCGTCGTTAAATTTATTGTGACCCTCTTGAGGTGACGAAAACGCCTACCGACAAACATAACAACACTTGTAAAGATATATTGAGTGTTTTTAGAAAGTAGTAATTCCAAACATAAGTCCCGCCAAGACGACAGTCGTTGTTTGATAGTTGGAGAAAATAAAGAATTTCATATAGGTAAGTTTTCTTAAATATGTAATTGGTTTCCGCCAAGTAGGATATATAAAATTATAATATTGTATTTTCCTGTTAGATAAAATATTTAATATGGAACATTATAAACACAGTTTATATGTAAATTTTATCCGTACATTACCATATAATCATGTAGAATTATAAATATCCACAATGAAAAAGATACTATTATATAAATGCAATCAAAATAAATGTTTATTCTTTTGACAATATATATAAGGACGTTTAATTAAATGAAACTATTTATTTTTGTTGCATATACAGTGATGGGAAAAAGTTCCGGAACGGTGAAATATCTCGAAAACTAAGCATTTTAGAAAAAAATGTTTCAGATAAAAGTTGTGGCGTTTAAAAAGATGTATTTACTGATCACATCAGTTTGACCTTGGGTTGCGTAGCGAAGGTCAGGTCAAGGTCACATTAATTTTTTTA